TTGCTGATGTGCTATAGTCCTTGCAGGTAGGATCTTCTGTCCTCCAGTGGTCCTTGTCCCGCAGGTTGGCCTACAGCCTCATTTCTGCCCCTTCCATCTTCCTAGTCCCATCACTATTCTGTATTGGCTCAGGATCTAATGACACGTATGATATTAGTATGTAGTGTAGCACAACATGTGAAGTAGCCGGCGCAAAATAAAATATCCATTTTTCAAATATTTGAACAATATGAATATATAAAGGAACAAAAGGAATCACTAATAATACATCCCAAAGCACGAAAGATCTAAGAAAGGATGCTATGCATGGGCAAAAACAGCAATGCATAGGAAGACATGAGAATGCTCGCGATGCTCGCGATGCACGGAAGGCATTGCGGCCACATAGAAGGCTACCGAAAAACGCGAGGACCATCACGGACGTTTTCATTGATTTGCCAGGTTTGCCAGGTTTGCGTCGATCGTCATGTCTGGCAAGACATTTTCAGACCTTCACGAGTTTGCTGATGTCACTCTGGCAGATGTCAATCCATATCAACTCCAACTCAGGGACAATCCATGCAGACAAAACCACGGGCAACCAGCACCTATTTTCAAGATGGAACCCTTGTTCTTCGCAAACTCGACAATATTGCGACTATTGCTTGCGATCACCGTTTGTCAGCGACTCGATCTGAATACGACCGTCGTCTTACCTGCATTAGAATTACACATCTACATGGCTGCGACTGATATGGTAGCTTGTTGCTGTCACCATTGATCTCTTTGGATGAGTTGCCACCGTTGCACACTCCTCTTCAGCGGGTGTGGGTAGCAGGGATTCTATATCTGCTGGTACCCCATATTGTACGAGTGGACAGAATGAATTGACAGGCTTTTCTATGCAAAAGTTTGTAAACATACTATGATATTCACTTGAATCACACGTAGCACAAGTGCTCCATGTCCGAGATCGTGACCGCTTGAGGTTGAGGGTGTCATAGACATAGGACCAGTCAACGTATTGGTTTGAAATCGGAGGTATCAGTGAGGGAGCGGGTGGGGGAGAAGGACATCTCTTCCGAAATGGTGCCTGCTGGTTGTTGTCCGTCACCTTGTTCGACCTGGTGAGTTCTATCATGTCTGCGGTGTCGTAGTGAGCTTGGTGTTCAGGAAGCTGATTCTCATCACGGGGTGAACGATCTGGTCTTCTGAAGAGCTTGAGGCTATCATCTTTTTCGTGCGCGATGGTTGCCGGTCCACTATGGTCATTTTGAATATGCTGACATGCCGAGCGATTTGTTAGGGCACCATAGTAAAAAGAGCTTGGTTTTATGAATGACAACCGCAGTACTCACACGTTGGAGTGCCTCTTCATGGACTTGCATCAAGCCGCGTTGGGTGCAACGAGACTGACTGCTACTGCGATGTTTTTCAATGTCTTTCATGAGGATAATGTCGCGTCGATGACATGCAAGTTCGTTGACGTGCAACTGTGTACAAGGCTGCATTGAAGTAAGTCTTGTCAATAGACTCGAAGGTCGAGGAAGATTACTAACCTCCAGTGAAACAGTGAGCATGATTCAAGAAATAGAGCCGGGTTACAAACTGCAGATGCAAGTGCGCCAGGACCCATACTTATAGTCTGAGGACCCAAACACGTGATGAGTCCAGTGGTTGGCATTCATGAATACGTACGAGCCTCCCAGATTCTGAACGACTCCTGAAGGAGCAGGAAGATGGAGAATGCTACGTACCACAAAAGTTATCGCAATGAAGAATTATGCACAAGAGACATCTGACCAGAGTACTAGGTCATGCACACGTACGTTGAGGAAGGATGTTTCTTGCTTTGTAGCCCTACAGTGCTGCGGCAGTCCACTCAATCGACGAGTGACGAGTCAAGCTTGCCTAGGTCTCGGAAGCGACGACGCGAATAGACCGTTCCGCCGTTATGATTAATATTTGAGGCTCAGGGAAGTCTGTGCAATACGCAGGTCTACAAATGGCTTTCCCACTGTAACCATACGTAGACTCCGAGGGAGAGATTATCAGTCACTGTGAGAAGACTCACCGGACTCGAGACGGTGTAGATCTTTTTTGAGTATGAGTCGCATTAAGTATTTGACTGTCAGTGTAAACTTGTATGAACTGAGGATACTTTCTTCATGACCATCAAACGACCATGGGTGGCGTATGGTGAAGGTAGACGACTGTTGGACGTCGACGTTGGACGGTTGGATCACTTTGGATGAGACTGGAAACGCGTGACGTCATGGAGGCTACCCATGCCACGTGATATCGTGAGGAGATGAGAGGCCTGTTTCCGCCGCGCGTCATGCATCATGCCGAGGAACATGCTCAGGTTTGCCAGTACTCGGAGTGCCAGCTATGCGCGTTGCTCCTTACCTCCATTCTTCCAACCTTTGGTCTTTTGAGACACACCTGAAGAGCAATGTCCACAGTCCGTGATAGCCAGTACACTGTCATTCGTGAAGTACGTCGTCCGGAATGTAGTACGCATACACTCACAAAGCCAGGAAGCTAACGGAGCCGTTGCATGCTTATACAGGTAACCAAAGATGTTTGGACCTTCTCCACGTTTGTCTACATTATGAATTTGCTCTCGCGTACTCTCATTTGAAGCAATCTTGTAGCCCTTTCAAGCGGTTCGGCATAATACCATTTGGAGGACGTTCTACCGCTATCAAGCTCAGTAGCGGCGGTCTCTGGGTGCTGGCGTCGACACCCCTAAACGATGTTACGAAGGCAAAGTTGGCGGAGTTAGGGGAGGTCAAGTAGGTTTTGCCTCGGCTATGCTTCGAACTCATAACCGACGTTCCGTTCTCCATTAGGTGGATAGTAGGAGCGGACGCAGTGCATTACATGTTCTTGAGTACGCGGGATGATATTCTCCAGCTTCTTTTCTGACAGCGCACTGTACAGACGAATTCAAGCAGGCCTATCCAAACGCCAAGGTCATTGCCGTTGATGCTGCGGCGCCGCAGGTCGAGAAGGACGGCCTCAAGTTGGACGGAGGTTCGTCTCACGCTATTTTTGTGCCCCCTCCTGCTGACGTGAAGTAGCTTGGGGAAGAGACCCCCCTGACACCAAATACGGATTCGAAAGCGACGTAAGTCCATATCAGCAGCGCATAGTCTGAAAACTGACTAGGGTGCGTTCGCAGGTTCAGCACTGGTGAGGACATATTCCTCTATCCTTCACGCTACCTCATGCGTAGTGTCACGTAGCTACTTCTCTGGCTTCAAGAACAAGGACGTCGCATTCTTTCACCCGGCGTCAAAGACTCTCATAGAAGCCGACCTCCTATTGAATCTCCCGTGCAAGGAGCAGGTACGTGTTTCCAGGCATCCAGCTTTCTTTTGACAAGTCAATTCTGACGCACGTTCCCCGCAGTACTCCAAGACCAAGGAGTCCGGAAATATTCCTGTGTTGGGCGGCTATGCCAATCCGTGGAGTTCTCTGCACAAGCGGATTGCGTGGTCCCTAGGCGTAGATAAAGAGTGAGCTCGCACAGGAATATGCATTGCGTGTGGGTGGAGAGCTGATATCGTTCTCTGTACAGGGCGATGAAACGCGATGCCGCGACGGTCGCTGGCTGGAATTTCGACAGGATCATTCCGTGTCATGGAGTAAGTGTTATTCTAGAGGTCTTCATTCTAGACATGCTTCTTTGTCGCGCGTGGCTGACACCTTGTTTACTACGCAGGACGTGATTGAGAAGAGAGGGAAAGAGGCCTGGATGTCAGTCTACGAGTGGTACCTCAAGTGATCATGAATTTCTATAGCCAGCTGGTGAGACTCTGTATCGTCTACTGTCTCTACTCGTCATTCGCTACCATGCTTCCGCATGTCTTATGCCTTGTTCTATGGACAAAAAACTGATTCTGGCCAATGCCGGGATCGAACCGACGACCTTGGCGTAAGAGAAGGTGTTGAGTTGACTCAACCTTAACCCCCTATTAGCACCACGCTCTAACCAACTGAGCTAATCGGCCGTTGTGTAAGGCCGTTTCCAACGTTCCAGGACCGTCCAAGATGCACTAGAACGTCGCCCGAAGTTCAGCCATCCGATTTCCACGGAATTTGCACTTTTTTCTGCATTTTGACCGCGTCATCTATGCACTGACGCCTCAAAACATCCCATCTTCTGCTAGGTATGCTTATGGAAGTTGACACAATCTCAATCACTGCTGGATGGGGCCAATACCCCTGGAAACCAGAGTGCAACCCGAGAGGATGAGTAAGTAGAGTGTAGCTTGCAAGAAGGGTAGCTGTCAATCACCGAGCAGGCTGGTGTGCGAAAGGTTGGTATCTGCTTTACTTCTCTTGCGCGCTGGTTGCGATTCCAGCCTCCACATGACACCCGTTCTGCTGAAATACTTGCTGCGCTGTCTCGAAACCAGGCCTGGAGATGTTTAAAGAGCTAGCGAGGGGCCACAGACTACCGCCCGCATCCCTGTCTTTCTCGCAACGAGTAGTACTCATGGACGTCGGCGGCGTGGAAGCGAAGTGTACGATATGTACCAAAACGCTGGCGTCTGAGAAGGGCCTTCGCGTCCATGTACTGACCAGTTTAAAGCACCACCAGAAACTGGTGGTCAGCTTATCAAAGGCTAGGCTGAACACTTCCCAAGTGAGTTCATCGTCACGGTGTTAATATCAGCGGTCCCTCTTAACTACTCGTTAGCAGGATGAACCGCTAATTCAATTCAATCCGAAAACTTTGCACGAGAAAATGTCATGTTACCGCTGTAATATGTCACCGACACGCTCAGAGCAGCTCGTGTTGCATTTTCGTGTTGCCCACGCTTCGCATACCCCGAAGTGCCCAGTGTGCGGCCTCAAAGGCAAAATGCATGAAGCCATTATAGCGGCAAGCACTAACCATGATTCGAGATCGGTTGCTGTGGGTCTGACAAACTTATGGCTACAGCATATCAGAGTATGCCACCCCACCTTCTTTCGCGCTCACATCGGCGTTCGCACATCTTCTTCCAATGTGGGTGACACAGGTGTAACGCCATGGGGTCGTAATATTGCTGGCGGAGGGTCTACCAGCCGCCGCTGGATGGTGAGCTCCTACCTGCTTTACCCCAGTCTTTTAATCCCTCGCTGAATACCGGTATATAGCTACCCCTTTCCTTCCCAACTGCCACGAACACAACTGTTTCAGAGCCAGCTGTACAAGCCACGATACAAAGCGGCGGCACTTGGTTGAACCAAGACATTGCGAGTGAGGATGCGGTAGGTGTAGGTGTGGTTGTTTTTGTACCATTTGCCATTAAGCAATTTTTTATACTTTCTGCTAGCACCAGCAACGCGAGAAATCGAACGACGACGACGCTGCTTCTGACACAGCCTCACTCGTAGGTATTCATTCGTAAACCGTGATCCCCTGTGTTCACGCAGTAGCGCAGGAGTTGCTTCTACCTCTACCCCCTCCGAACGTCAGGCCCAGCTGCGAACTTTGTGAACTAACTTTTGACGACATCGCGGCGCTCGAAGCGCATTACAGAGACACGGATCTACACCCGACGTGTGTCTACTGTTTTGGAGGATTCAATGACGACGATGCTCTACAGCAGGTACGAATGAAACTCATCTTTGATTTCTTCGTACCTACGAATAACTTGCCTTTAAAGCACGTTAACAGCGACCATGCCGCTGATGACGACGCTGATTATTACGTCGACTGGAGTGGGTCTGAACCAGAGTTGAGTGATGGGAAGTTTCATAAGGGTGTGCCTACTGTGTAGAACACTCAGTGACTTGGTTCGTTCGCTTATCACTAAGTGTGCGAGTACTCTGGCTGGCTTGCCTTCAACCTGCGTCGCACACTGGTCCTGCGCAACGATAGTTTACTGTCGACGTCTCGAATCCCAGGCTCAGATTTAGCTTTCGGTTCATTCCTACCGAATTGGCAAAGACGTTCCTGCTTCTGATCACGAACCTGGATCGTGACCAGACGCATGGATGTCGCGCGTGAAGTTGCCGCAGCATGAAATGCGTCTTGAATGCTCTGCGGCCAATACGGGAGTTCAACGTTGTTCCAAGTACTCACCTTTCCCTCTGCAGCGACGATAATCCTCGTAACTCTGAGAACATGTCTGTTACTTGCAAAGTTTGCAACAATCGGGTGTTCGGGTCACTGGAAGACTATGAGCAGCATGTTCGAGACAGTCAAAGTCATCAACTCAAAGCTCGGTCTCAGGCTGTATCTACGTCCGCTACACCTCCCACTGGTGGCACGGTGCGTATAGTTTGTGGGATCAACTCGCTTCTGGATGATTTCCGGCAGGCAAACCAGAGGAAACGATCGCCAACTGCAGTCACGGTGGCTCCTATACCGGATCCCCTGAGGCAGGCACAGTGCCTGAAATGCGAGATGCGGTTTAAGGACCATGATGCAGTGTTGCTGGTAAGTACATGGTATTTATCCTCCGAGTCGCAGCCAGCCTGAATCATCAATGCTTGTCACAGCATCGGAAGGCCGCTCATCCAATGGTCAGGTGTCTTCCGTGTGCGCGGGTAGTTTACCAGGAAGAGCTCCAGGTACACTGGACAGAAAGTGACAAACATCCCAATTGCGAGGAATGCACTATTGGCTTTAGAGACGACGCGATGCTCCGGCAGCATCAACAAGTGTCGCATAAATTCAGATGCACAACTTGCACAAAGGAGTTTCCTTCGAAGAAGGAACTTGAAGACCACCGCCATCCACAGTGTAGTCGCTGCCCGAAATCGTTCGTTGACAATGAATCGTTGGATAAGGTAGGAACTCCCGGGATAACCTTTCATCGCAACTCATAACCCTCCGTAGCACATGGAACGTGTCCACCCATCTCTATTTTGCAAAGCGTGCCAGGATAATGTATTCGTCGCTGATGTCCATGATCACTACAAGGATTCAGCGAATCATCCTAAGTGTACTCTGTGTGGTATTGGTCTTATCGACGATGCAGCTTTTCGCGAGGTTCGTACGATGGAAAGCCTTTGACTCGGAGACGACCGCAAAGCTCATGTCGCTTGCAGCACGCGATCCACCAGCACCTTGATCTATACTGTCAGACGTGCAGTGTGCTTGTGGATTCAATGGATCAGATGCAGTTGCATTATAATGAAACTCCGGAAATACACCCTCTTTGCGGCTCATGTCAAAGGGCATTTCAAGATCAGAGTGTATACGACGAGGTGGGGTTTTCGATTTCTTGTGCTTCCCGAACTCACGTGACAGATGAATTATTTACAATCAAGCATATGGGAGAAGCACACGCAAAACCAGTCTTCTCCTGTACAACCTGTTGCATCTCAGTCACCTCCGAGGATGAATTGCAACAGCATTATCGCGAGGCAGGACCCCCTATTCATGCATGGTGTCGCCGATGCGAAGAGGCTTTTGCCACTGACGAAGAATTGGCATTGGTAAGTAACTCTCGTGTCCTTCTGCCACTTCTCCCTCACGCCACGGTATTAGCACAATCGCGCCTTGCACACGATGATTCGGTGCGAGGTGTGCAGGGTCTACGTCGATACTGAAGAACTAGCTCAGCATTGGAATGAAGCACCTCAGGCTCTGCATCCCTCGTGCACTGTATGCGGCATCGGTTTCGAAAACCAAACAATATATCTGTCTGTGAGTGTTTCTATTCTCTCCCTTTACAAAGGGGGACTTCGGCCTTTATGAATGGAGACCTCGGCGTACACCAGTCTCATTTCTTCTTTAGCATGCGTTTGAGACGCATCCAGAATTATGCTGTGACACCTGTTTCCTGGCGTTCAAGACGCTGCATGAACTTCAGGATCATTTTCGAGAGTACAGCGCGGTGCACGACAATTGCGCTTATTGTGGCGAAGGGTTCAGAAATGACGTGGAGTTATTCGAGGTATGCGTCACGTTCTTCTACGACTGGGAGTCGATTGTAGATAGATCTAAACTTGTTCCGACCTGCAGCATCTAGAGATCCATCAGTCTGAGCCTTCCGAGCCTGATAGCACACATTCCAATACGGAACGATATGAAGCCCAAACATCGGAGTCAACAATTTCTAACGTAAGCTTGCTAACTCAGCAGATACTGGTACGTAGTTGCTACTTTCTATTGAGTCGCAAGCTGATTCATGTTCAAGCAATTTGGTGGCGAAACACCAAGCGACACTGCGGATGTCGGGAGGTCAAGGACGTCTTCCGGAGAGCGGCCTGCGTCAACAAATTCCTCAAGGGCCTGGGTTGAAGGTGTCGCCGGGTACTCTTCATCTCTTTCGCCTGTTGGCTAGTCTCACAATCTGACCCCATTCTATACCTAGCATGATGAATGGTAAGAGGATGAGTGCCACAAGTTCAAGTGTGACTGTCAGCACTGGCGCGGCAGTGCAGGGAGCCGAACACGACTCTGATTCGGAGAGAGATTCATCGTTCGTAACCCCTAGGGTCATTTCCCCCTTTAATTCTCAAGATGGAATTGAACTGCCTATTGAACTGCCACTCAGTCATTCGGCGGATACGAGAGGTAAGCTCGCCTTATTGCTCATGGCGATATTGTTCACACTATCTGGCGGGCGTAACATAGGCTATAGCCCGAGCTTAACACATGACCATGTAGCCGCATGCTCGACTACCAACGCCGGACAGCCTGCACGAGCCAAATACTTTCTTAACTGCCGCTCATGTTTGCAAGACCCTGAAGAGCCCGTCGCAGCTATATGCGGTCACATATTCTGTCATCGGTAAGCATAGAGGCTTCGTAGGATGTGAATGAGGTTGACTGAATCTCATACTCGCTGTCTGACATGAAACAGCTGCTTCATTCAAGTATTGGCACAGCATGGACGATGTACTGTCTGCGAGACCCTCTTCCTGGTTCGCCTTTCGGTGGAAGACGAATAGGTGAAGATGTAGAATATGGTAAATAATATATGAATATGTGCCATGTCTATAGATCATTGCGCCGTCATTCAACATGCTTTGCCCACCGGCCGCTACTAGCTCGCAACAGAGC